CTAATGACTCTATGGAAGATGAATCAAGTTGGCAGCAATAACCTGATTTCCTTGCAGGAGAGATGGTATACAAGGCTTGAAGAAGCAAGCTCATTCTGAAGCAAGTAAGGCCTTTTCCATTTAGAGGTTTTGGGTGAAGATGAAGAACTTTTGTCCCATTGTTTCATGATTATCTCCTCAGTCTTATGAATTAGATTTCACCATTAGCAAAATCTGCTCTTACCCTGAAGTTGTTGTGAGATTTGCTGGCTGAAATATTAGCCTTTTCACTTTTTTAAAAAAATAGTAAACTATTATTAAATACGATTTGTCTCCTAATGGCCTGTTTTATGAGCCTCAAAAGGTCATCAAAACAATTTTGTTCCCTTTCTGTGTCTCTATAGAGTTGCACTGACTAGTTAAACAGCTGCAAATATTTTCATTCCATGCTCTTTGCAGAAGCCATGTGTAAAAATTCACTTTGGAATCCTGACACACAGTATGTAGTCTGGGCTTGGAAAGGAATGCTATTTATTATTTGAACATGCTTTCTAATTGTTAATGATTGATTTTAATAATGAAGGCAAATGGTCTGGCCTCGCTGATTGCAGAGTTGTTTGAAAAATGTATTCCACTTACTTGTATTCTATTTCTAGAATTACCATTTGAAAACAGAGGTGATGATGACAGTTTTGGCATTTTGCCCTAACTGAAACAATTGCATATCTAGCTGGAATGTCTTTTTCCCCCCATATGGAAAACCTCAACTTTTTGTCCAAAACCCCAAAACCTATGCTAGACATCCAATCCTACTAAACATTTTTGTGGGTGAAAACTGACTAAAAAAACATTCAGTACAAATGCCATTTCTACATGTTCTGTTGTTATTTTCTCCCCTTCATTGATTAATGGGCCTCCCCTGTCCTTGGCCCTCCTCTTGCTTCTAATGTATTTATAGAATATTTTCTTGTTACCCTTTATGTCCCTAGCAAGTTTAATCTCATTTTGTGCTTTGGTCTGTATAATTTTGTCCTCATATACTTGTATTATTTGTTTATATTGATCCTTTGTAATTTGATTTGTTTTCTTTTTCTGTAGGATTCTTTTAAGTTTCAGATTATTTAAGATCTCCTGGTTAAACTAGCATAGTCTCTTACCATACTTTCTGTCTTTCCTATGCAGTGGGATGGTTTGCTCTTGTGTCCTTAATAATATCTCCTTGAAAAACTGCCAACTCTCTTGAACTGTTTTTCAACTTAAGACTTGGTTCCACGGGATCTTACATACCAAATCCCTGGGTTTGCTAAGTCTTTATAATGCTGTTCCTTAAATTCCTCTCTTCTATTCTTTCATCAGTAATAATCTCCACACCATAGAAGCCTTGTACCAGCTTATTCGCTTTCATTTGAAATATCTCCTGTGTGGAGAATATTGTAAGTGGCCTGTGAGTCAACCACAAGTGGCCAGCTGTTGCATTAAATGTCATCAGGTTGTTAGTCTCTAAGGTGCCACAGGACTCCTCATTGAGTTTTCTGTTTGTTAGGTTTTTTCTAGCTAGTCTTATTTGCCAGAGTCTGCTTTGTGCATCTACTTGGCTGAAGAAAAGTGACTGTGCCTAACTTGTGGGTAGTATTGTTTAAATTAGAAAGATTGTAGTTCTCTTGATTAACTTTGATGGGATGCCTTAATTCTGGGCATATTTGGATTTCATCACTGGGCTTTTTATTTTTTTATAACCCTTTATTATTTATTATTGTTCCTCAGTTTCTGCCTCTATTTACTATTTTTCATATTTTTCTGTTCACAAGTTCCCTTTCATTTTACTCTGTGGCAGATTTACCATTGGGCCAATTGTTCTACCACTGCCTCAGCCCCAGTACTGCCTCCTCCCACTGCCACTGGGCATTCTGCAGCCTAACTTGCTGCCGGGGAAGGCTCCAGCAGCAGCACAGGCTTCCTGCGTGATGCTCAAAATCGGTTTGTGTGCCACTTATGCCGACTCCTGTCCTAGCAGTTAGGTTCTTGGATTAAGTCTTGTTTTTTTGTTTGTTTTCCTTTCCTTAATTTACACTTCTGTGAGGTTTCAGTTTGGTGGTTATCTTATAATTTTATAAGATGAAATAGTTTAGGTTTTTTGGGGGGTTTTTTAGCACCAGGATAGACACTATCGTAGGTCTACCATATTGCCTTAGCCTCCAAGAGCTAAGTATTGTTAAAAGCCTCATTGGATTTTAATGTTAGTCTAGGCTGAGGATGTTTGGGGACAAAGAATCCAGTGAGATCGTATCCTATATAGGCTGAAACTATATTCAGTCACTGTACTGTATACATGGAATTCCTTCTTGTCGATTTTAAGCATGAATATTGCTGGAAATGTTCAGGCTCTGAGTTTATTAATCTTTGACATCATTTCTGGTTTTGCATTTCTTTTTTCTTATTCCCTCTTTCTTTTGTGCCTAGCTTTAAGTTTCTTCTTTCATTTTAATCACTGTTGTCCTTTAAGCAAGTAAGATGTACCCTCAGTAGGTGTGTTTCTTATAGAACATTGTATATATATGTTGCCTTATTCATGCTCATGCCTTCCTTTGCACATGATGATGTTTAGTACAAATAATGAAGTATTTCAATAGGTTTTAATAAGTTCAAGTGTAATAATTACTTTTAAAGTCTTAGTATCACTTTGATCAAAGACATTTTTAATGCCAGAAAATCTCTCTGGCTTTTCATTGCTGTTTATTTCAAGTGTTTTCAGTTTGAACATTGAACAGCTGATCTGGAAGCAATAGCAGTTTTGAATTTCTTTGGCATTTTAGCTCCCCTCATAATGAGTGCGTCTACTTTCTCAAATTTCTGCAGCTTTTATTGGTGCTAGAAACAGACTGGTGTTCTGTTCAGATTAACATTTCACCCTGACTGTTTAGACCTCTGTAACTGAATGATCATCAGACATAACCAAAATAATCTTTTTTTCATCATGGCATTTATGATTTGCTCTGCTGGACAACTCTTGTGTGTGTGTGTGTGTGTGTGTGTACGCACACAGGTGTCTATACTGATTTCCTCCCTTGTTTCTGTATCTGCTAACCTTTTCTTAGACACCAGTTCTGCCTCCTTCTGTAATAAACTGGTTTTGTTTTCTGTTGTTTACCTCTACAGTTGACATGGATGTCCAGTGTATACTCCTCTTTTAGTGCAACTCACTGTGGTCTGACCCAACTGCCATTTGACTGAAACTCTTTTTGACTTCAATAGGAAATTGATAGCGCCAGATACTGCTCTGCTTCCTGGATATCTAGCACAATCTTCTACTCTCCGCTGTATTTAGATCTAATCCCAGTTGTTTCTAACTTTTCAGTGTCTTACCTCTAATAAAAATCAGTCCTTTAACTCACATTCATCTGCTAATGCCATCTTTTATTTTGTATTGCCGCTGAGGTAACCATTTGTCTATTGACTTTATTACATTTTTAAAAAATCAAAACAACCTTTGAAATGGTTTATTTTGCCACAGATTAAAATACACCTGAATTCGATAATTTGTCCAGAATTTTTCAGTTAGCTGAGGTGATTGGTCTGTTGTATTCCTATGTACTGCTGATCTCGTTTTTTTTCTGACCGGTGCCTGGTTCTAAATGTGTAGCCTTTTGGGTCACTGACAATCTGTCTGCTTCTTGTCCTGCAAGAAGGAAAATGATCTATTTCTTCCACATGGACCATTTTTCAGAAACTTTTCCCATTTCAAAGCCCTCTAGAGGTAGATTTTCCACATTAGTACCAGTTGCTATTTTAGTCTACCTCTACCCTCAACCTTGCCCTCAGATTGTTTAACAAAATGAGTCATTCTGCACAAAAGGCTTCTAAAACAAGCTTCTTAATTTAACTGTCACACTACGAGTTCATGCCAATCTCTTGAGCTGGCTTTATGACTTCATTGCTGCCAGTCCCTATGTTAATCTTCCATTGTCATTTTTGCTCAGAGTACTGGTTAGGGGTCACAATCCAACAAAATTACAGGCAATGTAAATGGATATCCACAGTCTAATATTTGAAATAGAAACACCCTGTGCCCTCCCATTCCACTGCAACATAGCGTGATCTTCAAAGTCTAAATGACATCATTAAAAATTAGTGTTACGAAGTACAGGAAATTTTTCTTCTCTCTTTTTTCTTTAAATACAGGAGAATTAATTGTTTCTAAACAGTGTTATTGCAAGGCTAATGTCCAATTTAAAATCTCAAGCATCAGGAAATGGAAATTAAAATACAAATCATATCATACTGCATTCTGAAAACCCAGAGCAAAACTGAATTAAGCCAGGGTTGGGGGGAACAAAGAACATAGGGCACAGACTTTGTACTAGATGTGGCTCCCAAAGCTCAGAATAAATATGGGCACAATGATAGCCTTTGTTAGTAATTTATGTTTGGAGGCTGGGTTTTTTTCCAGATAGGAAAGTCAACAGATCAATGATGTGAAATGCTGAATTTCTTGTAAAATTAGGATATACACAAATCAGTGAAATTAGGCAAATAAATTATGCATTGTGTGGGAAGATGACTGGTAAAGAGCAGTGTCCCAGAGGTAAGAAAGGAAAAATTTAGGCCCAGCTATACAAATCTTGAGGTCCTTAATTCAATCTCATGTAATCTCCTTTCATAAACATTCTACCAGAGTGAAGTCAAACTTTGTAAGTGTAAGCACTGATTAAGACTTTAACCCCTTAACTATATTTTCACCTTTTATGGAAGTGGTAGTTTCATTTTGCCAAGCTTAACTGGAGAGTCTCACATTACTTTTCCCTACCTCTAATAATAGTCACTGTGCTGATCCATTCTATCAGATGATGCCTAGAATACCTAGAAATTACCCTTGTTGGCGAAAGAAAAGAAAACCACTTTGTACTGTGAGAAATGTGAATTCCTCCTCATTTGCCATTAAAAGACACACAATTCTTTCCTGCAAGTCTCCTGAGCCCGTGGTAGCTCCACGGCTGTCAGAACTGGAGAGCTTTTAACCTTACCTGAAAGCAAAATGGATAGTCCAAAACCTCTGTAATGGAACTGTCGGTAAATGAGAGAACTGTGGAGTATGAATCAAAGACTTTTGACTCTCATCTTGGTGAAGTGGAAAATAGAATTGTCCATCTTGAAAAGAGAGAAAAAGATCAGATTGTTGGGTATAAAGCACTTGTACAACGGATTAGTTTGAAGACTTAGCGAATCACACCAGGAGGTCAAACCTGAGGATTTTTAGTACACAGAGTGTGCAGATGGCCACTTCCTGATTTATTATCTCCAAGCTCTGATCCTTGATACCCTGGGGTCAATAGGGCAAAACTCTGCAATGGAAATCAAACATACACTAAAAACCCTGCTGCCCCCGCCCTCCCTCCAAATGTCAATAAACCAAGGATGATCCTAGTCATTTTTTTAGATAACATGTCAGAGAAATCGTGTTGAAAGAAGCAAATATTTTTATACCATTGGTTTTTACTTCCTGCCTGATACTAGTCTAGAGACTGAGACATACTGTGCAACTTTTAACCCCATTAAAACTCAAGTGCTATCTGATGAATAGCTAATGTATATTATGCGTCTAAAATCTGTACAAGAACAAAACTCCTTTTTTGGCATTTTATCAACATCTTTTGCCATTCCTAGAGAACATTAAAAGGCAGAAAAGTTTGCAATGGCTATTGTAACAGACTCTCACTGGAATTCATAGGATGACTCACAATGGCTTAAAAACAGATTTTTAATTACAGTACTACTGGTTATTTTTCTCTTGTCCAGCAATAGTGATCAGCTTGGCTTACGGGAGATAACTAATATACTATCAGTGCTATCTATATATTGATACACTGGAGTTTAAGCTTTTTTTTCATCATTGTATTTTTGCATCTCCTAGAGAAGACTAGATAGCATGATATGCAATTCCTCTGCACCTTAGCTACTTAACTCACATTTCCATGACTATATACTGATTTTTTTTAAAACATTGTAAATCTACTTATTAGCATTGTCTCTCTACGCTTCTTAATAGTTAGCTCACTCTCCCTACCCTTCATATATCGCCTTTGTTTTTAAACTATAAGTTCTTCAGGACAGGAACTGTTTGATCATGAGGGAACAAGATACATTCCAAATGTAAAGTCTCTTCTTGACAGACATTTCTGGCCTTCTTATTTGAGCAATTTAAGAAACTAATATCTTACCAGAACATCTACTTCATTGCTCACAGTTCTTAGAATGTCAGTTCTTACTCCAAGGGACATGAGAATTAGATGACCACTGCCTCTTTTTTCTCCATTTACCAATTCAATTGTATAGGCATCCACTGACAACCAAGCATTCACTCGGGATTTTTGTCTTTAAATCAGTTTTTGTTTAGTACTTACTGACAAGCATGTATTTTTGGCAGACTTTACAAAACTTTATATTGCATCTCTTACCTCCTAACATAGAGTTTATACAGAGATTGGAACATTTAAATGCCCAAATCTTGCAGAAAGTAATACAGTATTTTTGGTTTTATTCTCCAAATTTAGGTCTGCAGGAGGCTTAATTTTAGAGTACTCCCCATTGGTTCATCTTTGCAGTGCATATCTCCATGATCTTTCAAATGGATAAGGATGAGTACTGGAAGGAGTACAATCACTGTGGTGTTATTTCATGGTCTGGGTTATAAATCCAGTATAGATGTGTGTATCTATATTTAATATGTTTAGATGTTTAGAGCTGAGCTTTTATTTTTGGGGATGCATTTAAGCCGTTATACATGGATGAAGCGCAGCATGATTAGGGAAATACTGCAGCTGGACAACTATTTCTTTTGGCTTAATGCAACTATTATTTATTTTTTGTCGTAATGTAGTGTTTAAAGGCACCGATCACAATTGGGTTCTGTAGTGGGTCGAGTGGATGCCCACTGACCACAAGGGAGAGCTGCCCCTCCCCGAGCCTTGGTGGGCAGCAGCTGGCCCTGATGAATCACCTGACCAGAAACCAGGAAGAGGGGCCAGAGAGATAAAAGGCCTGCTGAAGGGTCCAAAAGCCTCCACTCTACACTTGTCAGATGAGCAGGACACAGCAGAAGCAGAGTGGCTTGGGCTGCCGGGCCAGCTGTTCCCAGACGACCAGGATGGAGTTGCTACTTGGCCAGAGCTTCCGACAAGCTGAAGCTCTGAGAACGGGCCTGGAACCCAGGTAGAGCCTCAGGGGAGTTCTGGAAGTAGCCCAGGGAAAGCTGACTACACGTTAGCTGAAACAAAGCTAGGGCAGCATTGCGGAGTGGATCCCCCCCGACCCAGCAGCAGACTGCTTTACTGCTACCTGGGCCCTGGTCTGGGACAGTACATAGGCCTGCATCCCCTCTTCCCCCCTATTTTCGGGTGGCTGACTCCCCTCTGTTGTGCCGGAACTGCAGCCGACCCCCACTGCTGCCACACCCTGAACTAGGGTTTGGCTTTGGGACTATTTGCTTGTGAGTTTAACTGCTTGGTCTTGAACTGCTGTTCGTTTGCCTGCCGCCATGCCCTGAACCAGGGTTCAGCTCTGAGCTGTTTGTTTGTCGGTTAACCACTGCCATGCCCCAAACTGAGGCCGGGCACTTGAACTATTTATTTTGCTGCCCACCCAGAACTGAGGCCGGGCCCATGAACTATTTAATTGTTGCCCGCCCTGAACAGAAGCTGAGCGCTTGAACTGTTTGGCTGCCCACCCAAACCGAGGCCAGGCTATTGAATGCTTTCATGGCTGCCTGCCATAGATCACGGCCGAGCTCTGGATGCTGGGCTGTTGCTCACCCAGTGAGAGGACCTACACTCGGGCCCTCAACCACCATTAATTCCCCTACTGACAGCGTAACACATAGTGGGTTGGACTGGACGCCCATTGACCACGAGGGGGAGCCACCCCTCCCCGAGCCCAATCGGCTTACAGGTCCCTTGTGCCAGGCACTATTCCAGCAAAAAGTGAGAGTTAATTCTTACTGCCAAGAGTTTATATTATAAATAGACAAGACAGGAAGGGTAAAAAAAGAAAGTCAAAGATTATTCAGAATGAGAAAAATCGAGACTCTCTTCCTGAAGTAGGGGCAATATTCCTGATGTGTGAGTGGTAGAGATGTCTAAAGTAAATCAGCCCAGTCTTCCAATAATGCTTTCTCTCAGTCCTTCCTTCATGCTTTTTATTTCCCATAAAATTTCTGTGGAATTTAACCACTTTGGCATTTCTCCTCTTCATAAAAAGTTGCAGGTTTGGTGGAAATCTACTACTGATTGATGTGTTACTAAACAGCATTTTTGCCAACATTTTAAACCTAAAGCAAGGCTCCTAAATCCATATTTAGGAAGCTAATTTAAGACATGATTTTCAGAAGCAGGGAGCACAGGCAGCACCCACTGACTTTGATGAGAGTTTGGAGAGTCAGATCGCGGCTCCATTAAAATCAATGAGAGTTTTGCCAGTGACATCTACTGATGAATTCTCTGTTGAAAATCAAACATTTTATTTTATGTGCATAACTAAGAACTTAGGGTATGTCTACACTACCCCGCTAGTTCGAACTAGCGGGGTAGTGTAGACATACCCTCAGTGGTTCTGAATCTTTCCATACTGTGTCCTTTTTCCATACCAGAATTCCCTCTTCCTTTGTAACCTGGTTGCAGCCAGGAACTCCTCTAATTCTGCAAGTTCCCCTGAGTCAGGTTATGTGAACTACACAACCCAGAATGCTGTGTCACTGACATGACTACTACAAATGGGGTGGGGGAGTGGGAAGATACCTTTGCCATTGTTCTTCCATGTGAGAGTTACATTTCAATGATCATTGAAATCACGAGCTTCATTTGCAAGTGCGGTATGCCTACATTACCCTCCTAGTTCGAACTAGGAGGGTAGTGTAGACATACCCTCTGGGAATAGACTTTAAAGGTACCTATTTAGGCACCTGAATATCTTTAAAACTCTAGCTCCAAATTTCTAAATGTAAGGCAACCAAGTTTGAAAATGTTGGCTTTTCTAATTTGGAAAAAGGAAAAATGTTCCAGAGAAAGTTGCACTCTGCTGAAGATGAACTTGAAGCGATCTCTTGAGATGGCTTTTATTTGTCTGTTAAGCAGAATGCACATTTATGGTGCTATATAAATAATAACAATAAAGTTATCACCTCTCTATATTCTGTTTATTAGATTCTGTTTATTCTGCAAATTTCAGCAATAAAAATAAAGCAGTTTGGTTTGTGCTTTCTGTGAAGACCCATATCCATTCTTATTTTATGCAAACCAGTTCTCCCATCTAAGGTTATAAGGCACTCTGCATTTATCAGAGGAAAACAAAAGAAAAACAAACTGCAGATGTGTTACAATAACGTTAAATAACTTAACTCCATAAAAGAAAGAGTTCCACTCATATAATCATTTTTCAAGGGTCCTCAATGAAAATCATAAGGAGTTTTTTAAAAAAAAAAAGTTTCAAAGCTGTTTATTTGTAAATCACAATATTGAAGCCATACCAGCTACAGGAGGTAGTAAAAGTAGATATGAGTTGATAGCCTACAATGGTCAACATTACATAGTAACAGTTACTACCTCATTGTATCTGAGACATAAGAGGATTTGTCCATACCTAGAATGGAAAATCATGAGAGCGCTTTAAATAATATAGCTTGGCCCATTGTAAGCATTGCTCATGAAAGGATTGCTCAAACTTGGATTCAAACAGCCTTCCAAATGAGTGGGACTGAATGAAGTGCCTTTAGGGGTCTGACAAGCACTGCTCCTCCACCTGACCTCAGATTAGATGTCCTCACTGCAACAGGCCACCAAATGAATTCCTTTATTTGCAATTTCAGCAGGTAGTAGGGCTGTTTAACTGAGTATGGAGAGTGAAAGCTCATTCAGAGCAGAGCTGAGGAGCTGAGGTAAACCTCTGGGATAACATAGCAGAGGCTTGCACGCCTGCTGCTTGTGCTATTCACTTTTTTCACTTTTTCAGTGGATAAATAGAATTATTCACCTTCTAGAGATGTAAGTCCAGTGCTTTCCTTCACCAATAAATCTACTTACAGCTTTGGGGGGGGGAGGGGAAAGGGGAGGGAAAAGTACTGCAATAATTAAAGCAAAAATGTGATCTAACCGTCTACGCATTAATCATGCCATTTTGTATGAATCCAGTATTAGAGTCTGCACCTTTAAAAACTTCCATTTATCACACTTCACTGTTTAAGCATTCCCTTG